GGAAAAAGAAAAAGAAAAAGAAAAAGAAAAGAACTCCTGCGCACCTGCAAAACCTGCATACTGTACTTTGAGGGAAAACAAACTACGCTCGCATCCTGGAGCGGTTCTCGGCGTGGGCAGGTGACCTCAGGATCTGGCAAGTGGTATCGATTGAAGATCGGCACATCAGCATACTTGACGAATCAAAGGGGTGCGAGGCTGCGGAGAGGATCTGGGCTTCGTGCGGCCGAGTGCCGACAGTCCGGGTCACCCACGTCTGCGGCTGCGGGCTTCAGCTTGGCTCGTGAATGTCAAAAATTTCGACGCGAGGCTGCACGTCGCGCAACCGACTGGCTTGCTCGGGAAGAAGCAAGGGAGCGTCTTGCCACCTGGTCCTTTTGACAATGCAGCATCGGCATCGGCTTCGGCTTCGCTTTGTCCTCCTGGCGCTAGACCCGAGAGCGACACCCCAGGTTGCGCCATTCGAGCTCCAGAGCCCGACTATGCCGAGATTGTCCAACTCATTCGAGCCTGGATGCTGTCCCAGTCGACTGTGAAGCGAGACGGCGTCGCGTGATCCGAATGCCGTACGGACGACGCAGATGGAGCGACAGTGGACTGTAGAAGGTCAGGATGAGATGGCTTTTCGTGGCGGAACTCTCAAACTCCGACAAGAACGAGTGCTTGGCAGGCAGCCGAAGCAGCTCTGCGTGACTGCCTGTATTTCTTTCTTTCTTTTTGTTTTCTTCGTTCCTCTTTTTTTTTCGGGTTGGGCTTCGATTTTGGGCGACGCAGGAAGTGTTTGAGCGCTGGTCATCATGCATTTGCCCTCGCAAAATGTCGCAGATGCCAGCCTAAACCCCTCTCTTCTTTCTCCGAGCTACTGCAAAGTGAGCGGACGACATGTTACACGGCGTCGTTGGTCCCAAAAATCCGCTCTTGTTGGGTTGGGAGGATTGCAATTCTGCATCCCGTGCTCCTTGCCGCAGTGATCCTGCATCAACGCATTGATGCAAGATGTCGCTGGTTCCCGAAACAAAATCCATCCCGTAGTGGCCAGTGTTGGGTTTGCACTGCGGCCTCGCTATCCGAGCAAAGTACGACGAGAGCGGAGTCCGCTCCGGATGTCCGCCACGAGTGCTTCCCCGCTTTCAGGCTAAGCTTGCGAGGCTAGTGCGAGCCGAGGCAGCTCGCTAGTGCGGTGGTCGGTGTTCTATCACGCTTGAATTTGGCCGAGCCGAGTCTGCACGCTAAGCGCTCCCCAGGAGTCCGGTACGACCACGCACAAACCGCGGCTGACCACGAGGACTTTTCCGCCAGACATCCTGCAAAAGCGAAGCGAAGGAAAAGAACAGCGAAAGAAAAAGATCAAAAGGGAAAGGAAAAGGAAAAATGGGTTCTGATCGGCGCGCCTCTCTTCACCGGCACACGGCAGCAGTTTCCAGGGATTCGGCTCGGAGGCCAGGAGGCATGGCTAGCGTGGCTAGCGTGGCTCGTTGGCTTGTCGGCTGTGTGTCGCTTCGTGGAAATCCGGAATCTGGAGGCATGAAGCATGCGATCCTGCACTTCCGTCCCCCACCGGGCCAGTCACCTCGTCGCTCCAACTGGCAATCTTGCTTTTTCCGTGTCTCTCTGTGTACAGTGAGACATTCACTCTCCGCCCATTCATCCGAGAACACATTCCGACCCAGCTGCAGGAGTCTACTGTCGAAAAAGTTCCGCGGTATTATCGCGTGCTTGGCGTTCGTCGTGCCCCCTTTCGCACCGAAAGGCAGGAGCAACAAGCTGCCTCCTACGCTCTGTCGCCACTGGATCAATGCTGAAGAAGAGTCGCATCGTCGGTGATCGAATGTGAAGCGGTGGATTGACGGCTATGCCGTCCTGTGATATGGCGAGGGCGGATTTTGTGTCGCCTGTTGCCAACGAGCAAGCGTTGGCCATTGTGTAGCCTGCAGCTCTCGCTGCGCTTTCAAAACTTTGTCGTGATGTAGGGTGCAAGATTTCTGAATCCGATCGCGATCCCGGGATTGCGACCACGATGCGCACTGCGCCCCCGGAAGCCAGCTCGGTAGGAGCCGTGTGCATGCATACGTGCATACATGCTTGCAGGCCGGCCCGGCTACTGTTGTTCTGGTTGCACCTCACGTGCGTACTCGAGTGCCGTATCCGTCGGTCCGTCGGTGGATAAAGGCAGAACGCTGTCGCCGCTCGGGATCTCGCCAGGAAAACTGGGACGCCGATGCATGGATTTGGTCTAATTACCCCAACTGTTCCGCCGCTTTCGAAGCGCTTGTGGTGCATGCGAGCCCGTCGGATGTGGGTGCAGATCCATAAATCGTGGCGTTCGCACAGCCAACCAGATGACTTGCTCCTAGCTGAGAGTGTGTGAATAGCAGGCTCGTATCTCGACCGTCGTCATGGCCGCCGCAGGATGCAATAGGCATGAGTCCATCCACAGTCAGCATGCGCCGCTTCCCTCCCCGTGGTTGCCGGTTTGGCAGACGAATCTCAGCCCGATGATCGCATCGTGACCCGCTCACCAGATGTTGCTGTACACCATCCTATTGTCAAACGCGGTTGGTCGCTCGCCTGAGACGGTTGCATTGCCTTGCATCCATTGTCGTAGATGCCAACGTTGCTCTGCATCGCATTGCCATTGTTTGCACGGGTCGGAAGGTGTTTTCGCGGTGCAAATTCGCATCAATCTTGGCTGCAAGACAACCAGGCTCGTCACACATTCCAAAGAGTTAGCACGCAGCATTGACTGGACACATGACAGATACAACTGTCGGCTAGAGGTTTGAACCGCTGCTCAGCGATTGCTTGGTCGGAGCACATGCGTGCCTTGTCGAGCTCCGTGCGAGAGTTCTGCTGACCTCTCTCGTCCGGTTTCGACGAATCAGCTGGTGCGCATGTGCGTGCTGCTTCCACTGCATCACCCCCAAATGCTGATCCAATGATAAAAGCCTCGAGCCTTCGGTCCTGCTGTGATTGGTAGGACCACCGTTCACGCTCGAGTCGGACCGGTGTTCTGCACGCTCTCATGACGCATTCGGACGATGCTTTGACACGCACTTTGATTATCGATGTCGATGCCAAACAACCACATCGTCCTTTCCAAACTTGGAACGGCTGGGTGGCGACCAGCCTGCTTGCTCATCCGTAGTGTCGACGTCTGGCAAGGGCGAGGAGAAGCCAAAGCCTTGAGGACCCACGGTGACGGGTGCGATGGTGACAAGCAGCGCATCGATGTGTTGCGGCTGCTGCACCAGGCTATCGATCACGGCTGCACCGCCTTCGACCATCAACCGGCGTAGTCCTGCTGCATGGACGTGCTTCAAGATCGTCTGCCAGTCGAGTGATGGCACCTGCACGACCTCAGCTCCCGCCCGTTCGAGCTCAAGTCGGCGTTGCTGGCTCGCCCGCTCGGATGCCAGGATGAGCGGCTGCCGGCCAACACCCGCCGTATGATTTCGAATGAGCTTGCAGTCGCTTGGCGTGCGCAGTTGCGAGTCGAGCACAACGGGTTTCGGGAGTTGTGCGACGGTGGGTGGCTGGGAGAGCAGGCGCGCGTTGAGCTGCGGATTGTCGTTCAGCACGGTGCCGATTCCGACCAAGATGCCATCGTGGAGCGTCCGCAGAGTGTGCGTCATTAGCATGCTTTCGGCACCGCTCAGTGCCAGCTGCGCCTTGCCTGGGCCTGCGATCTTGCCATCGTGCGAGACAGCAAAGGTGAGTGTCACGTGCGGGCGCTCTGCTTTGCTACCCGACGAGAAGCGGAGATGCCGATCCAGAAAGGCCGTCGCCTGCTCCTCGACCTCGTGAGAGCCTTGCATGTGGCAGCAGAAACTGGATCCGTCGAAGCAATCGGAGTTGTCTTTGCTGCGAGAGGCCGGATCGCGCCTTGCTGGCGAGCGCGTGCTCGTTGGCGCTCGACGCTAGCAGCGCGTGTGCAGGGAGCTGCGTCGGATGTGAAGCGACAGCGGGTCGCCCTGGCGCGGCTCGCGAAGCAAGATCGTGTGAATTCTGGCAAGTGGTGGTTGCGGTCTTGCAGTTAGTTCTCCGCACAGCATCCCGCTCGAGCCAACCCGTCTGTGAGCGGCGGCAGCGATACGCGGGCAGAAATGCAGAGACCTCCACCGCTGGGCCTCTCGGAGCCTCGGCGCTTTGCACCCGCGATACGCCGCGAAATCTCCTCGACGCTGGTGCGGGACGTTCCGAGACCGTTTTCGCACTGCGATCCATCACCGTCCTCATCGTATCGGAGGTGCCGTTGAGCTGCTCAGGCTTGGTGAGATTCCCCGCCTATTCATGCTGCTACTCTGCATTGCGTGGCGAGCCAAAGAACCTGGATGGACGCATGGCAGAGCAGTCCAGTGCTGTGGAGCAGGCCGCGTTGGCGCGCACGCGTCCGCGTGAATTCTCGGTCCATCACGGCCGAGCCGAAAGGACCCTGAGAGACCAAAAATCTCGAGTCGGCGCGGATCCTCGTTTGGTCGGACAGCGCCGTCGCTGGCTCGTTGCCCCCACCGCACATCCTTCGACGCCGTGTGCTTCTCGTCTACGTCCAAACCCAAATCTCCCTCAAGCGTAGAGCATCCCCCACGTTCCTATTGTCACTTCGGTCGATCAAAGATACCCTGTCGCGCCCGGTGCGCCAATCGCCCCCGTAATCCGAGGCCTCCTTGCTCGCCATCTCATCCCGCCTGCGTGCTTCGCTCCCCCCTCCTACACGTAACGAAAGACGGGCCGCTTCTGGAAGGATGCAACCGGGGATCAAGACAGCGAGCTCGTCGGCTCTCGTCGACGTGTCCATCGACGGCAAACCCGCATGCATGGGCTATGACCACGAGTTTCTCTTTGTCGTGCGCGGCCATCTTCGGCATGTCGACACCTCCGACATCAGCAAAGCGCATGTTCGCGTACCCTTGGCGCTCGTCCTCAATGCCTCCTTCGTCTCGGACTCGGATGGCGGCTCGCTCCTCGTGCGGCTCCTTTCTCCGCCCGTGCAGGCACAGGCTCGCGAGAAATCCGTCCCTTTTGCTTTCCTCAAGAAGGCAAAGATCCAACCAGCTTGCATGGAGTCGCTCACACAAGAGGCGTACGAGGCACTCTCCTCTTCGGCGCGGGCAGAGCGCTTGAGGGAGCAACTCGAGGGACCGTGCTCAAGCCTTCGCTTGGTCAAGATCGAGGCCCGTGTGCTTGCGGGCAAGGATGGCGTCGACTCGGAAGCAAAAGCGCAGGCTTGGGTCGACGACGTCATGTCCCGGACATACAAAGACGTCAAGCCACACAAGCGCATCAAGGTGCTCGTCAACCCAGCTGGAGGACCGGGCAAGGCAAGGCAACTGTTTGAGGGCCGCGCCCGCCCCATCATGGAAGCCGCAGGGTGCAAGCTCGACGTCACCATCACCTCGCACCGCCTGCACGGACTCGAAATCGCCCGCGACCTGAAGATCCACGACTACGACGCTGTCGCCATCGTCAGCGGCGACGGACTTCTTCATGAGGTCCTCAACGGCTTTGCGACACGAGCCGACGCCCAGAGTGCGCTTTCCCTGCCCATCGCTCCCATCCCGGCCGGCAGCGGCAACGCCATGTCGATCAATCTCCTCGGCGTCCAGCAGGGCTTCAGCCTGGCCCTAGCGTGCCTCAACATCATCAAGGGTCGTCCGATGAAGCTCGACCTGCTCAGCGTGACACAGCCCGCATCCGCGTTTCCCCCCGGAATTCCCGTGCCGGGCCGGCCACCGACCCAGTCTCTGGGCAAGCACGCAGCTAAAGCTAGGCGAGACGCTGCGCTCAACGCGAGCGTAAGCGAGAGCGTGCGTGGCTCCGAAGATGTGGCGCGGATCATCGAAGCACCATCCAAGCCTTTTGTTCAGTATTACTCCTTCCTCTCCCAGGCTATCGGCATCGTTGCTGATCTCGACCTAGGTACTGAGCATTTGCGCGCTCTCGGCGATACGCGCTTTGTGATCGGATATGCCACTTCGGTGCTGCGCAATGCCCAGTGCGAGGTGGATGTGGACATCAAGCTCGGCACGCGCGGCACCAAGAGCAGAGCCGAAATGCGCGAGCGCGTCCTGGCCTTCAACAATGCGAGTCGTTCGACCGATGACGATCCGCAAGAGCAGCAAGCTGACGGCGGTGCCGCTTCGTCAAGCCTTGTTCACGGTGCCGTGACTGAGCCGCTCACGGCGGATGCAACGACGCCGCCACCGTTCGACCTCAACGACCCTTCATGGTCGCACTCGTTCCTCACTCAACGGCACTCGATCCGACATCAAGCGGCGGCAGATCCGTCGTCTGAGGCTGGTGCGACTTCCGCCGACGGGTGGGCGCGCATTCAGGAGCCGATCGCGAGCCTGTACGGCGGCAAGATCCCGTACGTGAGTCGCGACCTGATGCAGTTCCCTTTCGCGCTTCCGAACGACGGCACGATCGACGTGGCGATGATGCTGCATGCGGGTGGGCGCGCAGCCAAGCTGCCGGAGAACGGGTATGCGGAATCGGGCCAGCTGGTGTATCAAAAGTCCATGACGTACGTCAAGGTCGAGGCGCTGCGTGTGACGCCGCGGCGCAAGGAGGGCGACAAGAAGCTCAAGAACGGCGGACTGATCAGTATCGATGGCGAAAAAGTGCCATACGCCGCTTTTCAGGTGGAGGTGGCGCAGGGCATGCAGTACTCGGTGCTGTCGCTCTACGGACGCTTCTGCGCTGCAGTGCCGGAGCCGCCCTCGGTGTCGTGAACATGAGCGGCGCAGCAGGGTGCCTCGAGAGGATCGAAATAGTGCCATGGTCGGATTCATCGCTCGGCCACGTTATTCGCTTGGTGTACACAATCTGGCTACAGCTCCAACCTGTCACACGTCTGTTGCGCGAAACGCTTCATTCGCATGGATGATCGATGCGGCGGAAGCGGCTAGGGTGTCTTTGTGATGAGACGGCCCGGCAATAAGTTCAGAGTCCGGGGATAGCTGGTCGGCAGCTGCAGGGTCTGGAGATTCGGGATTTTTTTGAGCTCCGGAAGGGACGTGCGCGAGCAGGCTAGGAATCGGCTATATAGCCACAGGTGAATCGAGTTGTCTCTTTCCTTTGGCACCTCAATCTCCTTCAAACTTTCGATGACAGCAAGCATGGCAGCAGCAGCGACGGCAAAGCAGATTGTAGTGGTGGTGGGGGCGGGACCTGGACTCGGGTTGAGTCTTGGACGCAAGTTCAGCGAGGCCGGGCATCCGGTTGCCCTGCTTTCGCGATCGCAGGAACGAATGGATGCACTGGCATCGCAGCTCAACGGCCAGTCGAGCAGCAGTGGACGTGCAGTAGGCTATGCTGTCGACTGTCAGGACGAGTCATCGATGAACACGACGATTGAAAAGGTGCACGAGCACTTTGCGAGCGGCCAAGGCGGAGAGCAGCATCGAGGTGCTTCGATCCACACGGGCATCTTCAATCCCAATGGCGGCTTTGCAATGGCTTCCTTCCTAGACACCAAGCGGAGTCAAGTGGAAGAAGCCTTCCGCACCCAAGTGTAAGTCCAGCCCCCACTCCGTTCTCGGTGCACCTTTGCTGACGCTAGAGAGTCGTGGATAGGTTGGGAGGATTCTTGTTTTCACAGGCGATGCTTCGAGCCATCAGCTCTTCTCCCGACTTTGCTTCGGGTGGAGATGGCAAGTCGGCGCTGGGTAACATCCTCATCTCCGGTGCTACGGCTTCGATCAAGGGAAGTGCCAATTTCGCTGCGTTTGCATCGGCCAAGTTTGGACTGCGAGCCATGGCGCAGAGTCTGGCACGCGAAGTTGGGCCCAAGGGCATTCATGTGGCGCACCTCATCATCGACGGCATCATCGTCACTGAGCGCACCGACGGCTTCTTGGGCAAGGACTACGCGCCTGGCTCGCGCATGGACGCCGACGACATCGCCCAGGTCTACCTCGACACCGCACGCCAACCACGCAGCGTGTGGTCGTTCGAAACGGACCTCCGCCCCTCGATGGAGAAGTGGTGATCAACCAAGCGACACCCCCCATTCTATGCAGCCTGCAACCACTCGCAGGAGAGCACACGGAAATAAGCAGAGAGTGTCATGTGTAACGAAGGCTGACGCTGCGCTCGGCGCTGACGATCTCTGGGTTTGAGAGCCAAATTGGCCGCCGGACGGGCGATTTTGCGAGGAAAAACAAAATTGAGCGCTGCGGTGTGCCTGATTTTTGGGTGCGGTGCGGAGTTGGCCAAAGCGCACAGACGAGCCCAAAAGCGCGGGCCGGACTGCAGCGGAGGCACATGCATAAGGCTTGGATGCAGGTGCGCTTTTGGAGCGCACTTTTTGAGTGCACTTTTTGAATGGGTGACCGACGACCGGCTTGCCTTCCAATTCACCGTCCGCCATCCTTCCACTCGATCGCACTCGACCCGCCTCGCCGTCGACCTCAGCACACTCTCTTGCCACAAGGATAAGCTTGCAGCGCGGAGCTCAGGCATCTCACGGAATCAGCAAGCACAGCGACGGTCTCCAAGGAAACAGCGTCGATATCGCAGCCATCCCGAGTGGCGTTGGAGAGTAATCGTCGCACCGATGCCGTTCCACAATCCTCTGGCCAAGCAGCCGGACTCGTACGTCAAGAAGAAGGAGTATGAATTCAAAAAGACGTTGGGCGAGGGTACGTTTGGCATCGTGCGTTCGGCCACATGGAAGGCGGCCGATCCTCCGATCGGTGTGGCGGTCAAGGTGATCAGCAAGCGCATCCTGCGCGGGCACGACAACATTGTCAAGGACGAGATGAACGTGCTCAAGGGGCTGGACCAGCCGCACGTGGTCAAGTTCCTCGACTGGTTCGAGAGCAAGGACAAGTACTACCTCGTCTTTGAGGAGGCTACGGGCGGCGAGCTTTTCGAGCGCATCCTGGCGCGCGGTCGATTCACCGAGCTCGACGCCTGCCGCACCATCCGTGCCGTGCTGTCGGCCATCCAGTATCTGCACCACCACAACATTGTGCACCGCGACATCAAGCCGGAGAACATCCTCTACCGCACCAAAGAAGAGGACGCCAATGTGGTGCTGGTGGATTTCGGCATTGCGGCGCACATGAAGGACGACAACGAGGTGCTTACTTCGGTGTGCGGCAGCTTCGGCTACGCCGCTCCCGAGATCCTGGCCAAGAAGGGCCACGGCAAGGCGGTGGACATGTGGAGTTTGGGGGTGATCACGTACACGATGTTGTGCGGCTACACGCCCTTCCGCTCGGACGATGCACAGGCGCTGGCAGCCGAGACGCAGCGTGGCAAGGTGGAGTTCCACGACCGGTACTGGAAGAACGTGAGCGCCGAGGCCAAGGACTTTGTCAAGGCGTGCCTCACCGTGGATCCCAAGAAGCGGCTCACGGCGGACCAGGGCATGGCGCATGCGTGGCTCACCGAGCACAAGGAGGAGACGCAGGGCGTGCACGACATCTCGGCCGGCCTGCGCGAGAACTACCGCAAGCGCTGGAAGTCGGCCATCGCGGCGGTGCGAGCATCCACCAAGTTCCGCACATTTGCAGCGCTCGCCAGCGAAAGCCGCAGCGAAGGCCTCGCAGCCGAAGCGTCGTCGGGATCGACCTCGACCGACCCCGCGCCTACAGACGAGCCGGGTAAGATCTCGCCACCGACCAAACGCGAGCTGTACAGCGAGGATGAGGACGAAGAGGCGGATGGCAACGAATGGTTCGATACCGAAGATGGCAATGCTGCGCCGGCATCATCGGAAGCCAAAAACGACGACAAGCAAGAGGGGTTGGCTGGCAAGTTGGAAAGCACGCTCCAAAATCTGCATCTGTCCAACAAGTGATGTACATTTCTGCCACCATGCTCCGTCGCAAGACTATTCCTTTCCTTTCATCCTACGTCGACAGACACGAGACCACGGCTCCCGAGGTCTGTGCGTGTGAGCTGATGTGCCGAGAAAAGTGGTGACAGAAATTCGGGCTGCGAAAAGGGAGCTCAATAAAAAGATACGCCTGAGACCAACAGAGGCGCGCGATGCAATTTGCGAGCGCAGGCGGCACGCTGTCCACGGCCGAGTCGCACCTCACCAGTTACACGCCACTGTGCAGTCGCCGTGCAGTGGCAGTTGCCGTGCCCACGCGCTCTAATTTCTGCCACGCCCGCCCGCTTCACGCTGCTCCGCGACTTTTCTTGGCTTGACCGCACAGCTGCTGCCGTGGCTGCTGCTGCTGCGGCTGCTCAAGGCACGCTTGTACGCTGCCTCTCGCACACTTCTTCTCGACCTGTGTCCGGTTCCTCACCTCTGCCTCTTTCTCGTCGCCTCTCGAGCCCCTCGGTCCTCTTGCGCTCTCTTCTCAACCCCGGCGACCTCGACTGGACAAACGCTGATCCTGGCGAGCGCTCTGGCCTCTTCGTCCTAGGTATCGTCTGGCAACACCACCATTGGAGCCGATGCCTTCATCCTCACCCCGCTTCACCGCCCCGCACGCACACGACGCACCCCTGGACATCACTATCGCCCCCGCCCCCGACTCAACTGCATCCGATCGCGTTCTCGCTCCCTCACGCAACGCCAACGTCTCCACCCCTCGCCCACCGTCGAGCCCGCAGAAGCTCTCGACTGCTCTTGCACCCGACGTCTCGCAAGACGGCAAGCCACCTGCCTCGCTCACACACAAACGCTCCGTCAAGCACATCACAAAGCAGTACGAACAGCGCGCAGATACCAGCCCCGCCTTGCTCCGTCCGCCCTCGTCCGTGTCACGTCCCGCCTCGCCCACCCTCAAGAAGCGCAGCTCCTTCCTGCTTCCCAGCAACTCGGATCCCACAACCCTCTCCGCCACACCGCCCCGCCCCAGAAGCCTCAGCAGCGGTGCGGCTTCCGCAACCACCACCTTTTCTCGATCGCCCTCCATCAGACTCGCCAGCGGCTCGTACCCTTCCACCCTACGTCCCCCAGCGCAAAAGAAGAAGTCATCCTCCTCCATTCGCTCCCTTCCCGAACCGCCCCGGCCATCGTCCCGTTCTTCGCTCAGCAGACCTTCGAGCGCAGCCGGCTCGCACGATCCACCCGGCGTCGAATCGCTCATCGAATCTGGCACCCCGATCGTCATCTCGCCTGTCACTGCCGACTCACCGGTTGAGCCACAGTCCAACGAGCCACAGTCCAACGAGCCGAAGCTGGCTCCGCTAGAACCCGATATGAGCAGCCTGCCCGACACCGCAACCACGGAGGCGACACCCGAGCGACCCCTCGCGGCGTCTGTGGGCGACGAGACACCCGACGCCGATACCTCCAACGAAGTCGATGACGCTCTCTACGAGGAGCTCGACAGCGTCGCCGACCTTGACGCTTCGCAGCCAAATGGAGCGCCTGCGTTGGTACGCAAGGTCGACTTTGCCAAGATGACCGTTGCAGAGCGACGCGAGCACTCGCGCAGACACTCGCGCGTACACAGCCGCAACCTCAGTGTCTTCTTCCCGCGCCCGGGCACCGACGCTGAAGCCGAGGCGGACGAAGCCAGGGCGCGCGATGCGTTTGCGCACGAAATGCCACACACTGCGCCTCCGTCTACCTTTGCCATCAGCGCCGCCACCACCAGCACGCCCGCTCATACCTCGGCCTCGCATGTGCACCGTCGCAACGGCAGCGGCAACCGTCCTCAGATCACCGTCAGCACCGATGCCACTACGCTCTCCCCGCGTTCCGCCAGCTTTGCCGCACTCACCGACAACCAAGAGCCGTCGGCGGGCAAGCTGGATGCGCCCAGTCCGCTCGGAGATCTTAGCCCGAGCCCGACCAAGAGCAGGCGCGGTCACCACCACCGCCATAGCGTCGCCATGCTCGACTCGGGCCTTAGTCCCATCACCGCCAAGCACAACGGCCATGGCATGGAGCGTTCCACCTCTTCCACCTCGTGGAACTCGGACACCTCGATCGCGCCCGCGGAAAAGCATCTCGAGCCTCACAGCCACCACGCCCACTCGCACGACCACAGCCACCACCACGGGCACAGCCACGGTCACGCGCATGGCAAGCGTTCGCTCCACGCACNCCACGCCCACTCGCACGACCACAGCCACCACCACGGGCACAGCCACGGTCACGCGCATGGCAAGCGTTCGCTCCACGCACGCACCGTTTCGGCGCTCAGCCACATCCCGCAGGCCTCGCGTCCGCTGCTGCTGTTTGGAATATCGCACTTTGGTCTGGGTGCGGCGCTGTGGATGGCGGGACAGGAGGTAGACTCTCTGTCCGCCACCGGCCTCGGCTACCTCGTCGTGTTCGACGCCATGGGTATCCTGAGCAGCGCCATGGCCGATTGGGCGCTCGAGTGGGAGCAGCATGCGGCCGACCTGCGCAGGCGCACGGGCAAGGCGGACGGCACCGCCATCCGACGCCCCTACGGCATGCACCGAGTCTCGACGCTCCTCCACTTTGTCCAGACCATCTACCTGCTCTTTGCCAGCGTCTACGTGCTCAAGGAGTCGGTCGAGCATGCGCTGCTCGAAGGTGGCGGAGGCCCTACGGTGGAGGGTGCGGTGGATTCGGCGTCGGGCCACGACCACTCGCACGCACACGCCGAGCACTCGTATGGCATCGTCATGCCCAATCTGCTGCTCGCGCTGTCGCTCGCGGCTTGTGTGATCTCGAACCTCGTGATGGGAAATCATGCGCGCTTGGTCGCTGCGTGCGGGATCAGCACGGCTGCATCAGGTTCGGCGCCACCGAGCGCCGCACGCCACGGTCGCAGCGGCTCGGTGCTCATGCGTCCGTCGGAACTGGCGTCGCCATTCCTCGCACTGCTGGCCAACCCGTTCAGTCTGACCGTGCTCTTCTTCAGCTCGGCACTGTTGTTCGCTGGCCTCACCATGCCTTCGGTGCAAGTAGCGGCGCTGGACAAAGTGCTTGCCGGTCTCGAATCGGTGTCGATGTTCTACGTAGCCTATCCCGCCTCGGTCGCGTTGGGCAAGGTGCTGCTGCAAACGGCCCCCTCGGAGGCGTCGCCCCACTTGCAGCAGCTCAAACGTGCGCTCAAGACGGTGGAACAGCATCCACTGGTTTCGTATGTGCCTCCACCGAATGTTTGGCAGCTGACGCCGCCGACGTCGGCCGTGGTGCAGGCGGACCGTGCGTCGGGCGTGCTGTCGGGTGGCGCGGGATCGGGTCGCGGCATGCACTTTGGCAGCAAATCCGCATCGCTCGTTGCGTCGGTCACCGTGTTCCTCAAGCCCGACGCGTCCGAGGAGGACTGCTTCGAGATGACCAAATGGGCTTGGGAGAGGCTAGCACCCAGCGTGGCGGCGACGCGCGGACTTGTGGCAGGCGAGATGCTGAGAGGCACTCAGAGAGCAGGCGAGCTTACCGTCACCGTCAGGCGCGAGGGCCACGAAGACGATGGTGTTGTTCATAATGCCGCCTGCGCCCATGGTCACGATCATCACGGACACGACCATCACGGACACGACCATCACGATCACGCACATCATGATCACGGCCACGCCCATGGTCACGCCCACGGCCACGCTCAAAGCCATGGACATCACCACCACCATCACCACTGATGTCGCATTCTTTATCACAATAAGGCAAATAGACACGCCATGGGTCGATCACCAGAAGTTCGCAACTTGTTGTGTGTGAACAATCTTGACCTGCAGGAGACACAGAGACGGACGAAGAGCGAACGTGCCGATAGGTGGCGAGTGAAGAGCATGGCTGGAGATGAGGGGATGCGGTCAGACCGGCTAAGCATTTGGTGTGAGTGTTTCGGAGTTGGCCGAGCGGTCTTGGAGGTGAACCCTGGCTGCACGTGCGCTGTGCTGTTGCTGTGCGAGTGACTCGGCGAATGACGCGATTTTTTGGGAGGATCTGCCCGATTCGACCAACGATGTGCATATCTGGAAGAAGTGCCGCCTGGCTGCTGAGCTGCATAAAAAATTGAATTGGCCGCTGCCGCCGCCGATGCGGATCTTCGGATGTCCAATCACACCCACCCGCATCTGTTCGTCGTCCACCTCATCACCTCCATCTCGACATCCACATCATCACCACACAAGCCTAGAACGACATGTCGAATCTGCTCAGTGCCGAGAATCTCAACGGGCGGCTGCTCTTTGCCATCCCCAAGAAGGGCAGGCTGTACGAAAAGTGCGTCGACATCCTGTCGGGCGCCGACATCCAGTTCAAGCGCCAGCACCGTCTCGATGTCGCGCTCGTACAGAACCTTCCCATCGCGCTCGTCTTCCTTCCTGCCGCCGACATCCCGCGCTTCGTTGGCGAGGGTAATGTCGACCTCGGCATCACCGGTCAGGACATGGTCGCCGAGGCGGGCGATAAGGTGAGCGGCCTCGTGTCGGAAGAGCTGCAGCTCGGATTCGGCAAGTGCTCGCTCCAGGTGCAGATCCCAGATCCCGCACTCCCCGCCAACGCCGGCAAGAACATCACCAGCGTCGAGGACCTCGTCGGCAAGAAGGTCGCGACGAGCTTCGACCACCTGGCGGCCAAGTACTTTTCGGAACTCGATGCGCGCGTCACCTCGGAGCGTCGTTCAGCTGGTAAGCTCGGGGCGACAGAAGAGCTCAAGACGCAGATCGAATACGTCGGTGGCTCTGTGGAGGCGGCATGTGCGCTCGGGCTTGCCGACGGCATCGTCGACTTGGTGGAGAGCGGCGAGACGATGCGCGCTTGCGGGCTCACGGCGATCTCGACGCTGCTCTCGTCGCAAGCGGTGCTGATCAAGTCGGCCACACCGCACGAACGCTCCAACACGGAGCTGATCCAGCTCATCACCGCACGCATCCGCGGCGTCATCGCCGCATCCAAGTACGTGCTGTGCCAGT